CTTTTACTTATAACTGATATAGATCTACACATTAGTTGGATCCTAGCCTTTCCCTCTATAGAGAATGTATTCCTCTTTCTCTAATACATTTTATGTACTTTATGGATGAATTCAAGTATTTCTTTTTCCTTGTTAGTAAGTGATTTACAACTTTTCTTCATCGTTTGTGGATGTCGAATTCCCAATACTTAACTGTCCCATTTTATGTTTTTTCTGTCCTTCTAGGCATGAATCTGTCCTTCAAATTGTTTGTAATGTAGAACTTGTGCCTTGCTAAGTATCGTCAAACAAAATTCCATTTGTTTTTAATGTATCTTTTCTAAGAAAACACTTTTTGCTGAGTATATTTTGACATATTCACAGTTTCTGAAATTTGCTTTATATATTTGCCAATTATGTTCAGTTCCTATTTTACACAGTTATGCTTAAATGATTTATTAATGGTCCCTGCACATTCTAATTTTCTAATCCAAATCCTGCTTCATTCATCCCTCCCTGAAAGAAAAAAAAATAGAGAAACTAACACCAAAAGCCATCAGATTATTACAGAAAAAAATTAATTGAATCTCCTTTTTCTTCTCTGTGTACAAATACGTCATAAAGATCTACAGTAACATATCCTATTTCCAGGGATTCCTTCACTCCTCTCTTAGTAGCTGCCTGCTGTGGTCACGCCAAGGCTATCAGCACGTTGCTCGAACACGGTGCTGATGTGTCCGCCCTTGACAAAGATGACAGGACGGCTATATTTTGGTGTGCCGATCAAGGCTTTGAGGAAGCTCTTAAGGTGTGATTTTTTCTTTGATTTGATTTATATTTTGATCTTGGTTTATACATATGTTTATATAGAGTATATAAATAAATTTAATCAGCATTTATTCCAAATGATTACAGGTTTTACTGCCTGCAGCTGAAAGTGAAGACCTCATAGATGTTAGTGACAGGTTTGATGATTCTCCGCTACACAAGGCAGCTAAATCGGGCCATGTTGCTATAATTAGGATGCTCATTGATGCTGGTTCTCAGATTGATAATAAGAATGAGGATGGGGAGACAGCACTTCATGTGGCAGCTGAGAATGGCCAAACCAAGTACGTGCATTGTAGTGAATGTGTGTGTGTGTGTGCATGTGTATGAATGAGTAGGTGTCAGTGTTACATGCATTTATTTATGTGTTTGTATTTATCCTTACATACATAACCATACAAGTTAGTTTGGAAAAAAAAAAAATGGACAAAAACATTTGATAAAAAGAAAGACTTCAAATTCCTTGAACTGAAAATACAATACCCAGTCCACGGTATGTCTGTATGACAAAGCCCACCAACATCTGTTCTAACCAAAATGTTAAAATCCTCAGGGTAGTCCGAGAACTCGTACGGCGACATAAACTCCTTATACCTGATGAAAATGAGGAGTCCAACACAGCACTTCATTTAGCATGTCTTGAAGGTCATCCTGAAGTCGTAAAGGTGCTGTTAGAGCACGGTGCAGAGGTTGAGGCAAGAAACACATCGCTCTGGACGCCTCTTGATTGTGCATCTGCCAAGGGACATGTTTACTGCGTCCACTTGCTGTTGGACTATGATGCACCGCTGGATCCCTTAGATAAGGTATGTAGCATTTTATTCAAGTTTGAGTTCTCAAGAAAACTTGAGTGTGAGAAAAAATATAGGTGATGTTTGTACTTGCACAGTTCAGCCTGTAATAGTTCCCAGAATGAAATATTTATTTTTATTTCATGCACATCCTTTTCTTTTCCAGACAAAAACGACCCCTCTCCAGCTTGCAGCAAGAGAAGGGCATGTAGCAGTAACAAAATTATTGCTGGAAAGAGGGGCTTCGCTCTCTGCGTGTGATTCAAACGGGAGAAATGCCTTAGAGCAGGCTATAGCTGCAGGAAGGAGGTAAAGAGTATATTTCCAGTTTTGTATATTTATTTTCTTTCAGTTTTTAATATACATATTTATAATGAACTCTAGTTAGTTTAGAATCCATTGGCCGAAATAAAATTCAGGGCAAAATACCATTTGTTATGTGCTTTACCAAATTACACTACACTACAGTGATATGATTTTCTTTCACAGGGATGTCTGCATGGCCATTATTAAGTCATCGGAATGGGAGACTGGAATGAGGAATGTGCGTTTGGATAAGAAGAACCGACGAATAACTCCAATGAGAATGCTGATTAGGAAATTTCCTGATGTTGCTGAAGCTGTACTGGATAAGTAAGATCTCTAATGCAGATGTATATGTATTTAATGTATATGTATAAGTAAAGACACACACACACACACACACACACACACACACACACACACACACACACACACACACACACACACACACACACACACACACACACACACACACACACACACATCACACACACACTCACAGCTACACCTACACGCTCATACACATACACATACAGACACGCATACACACGCGAACTTACACATACACACACCAATAATCCCCTCCCCTCATTCACCTG